AATGAAGAAAGAGAGTTATTTTTTGTTGTGAAACATTATGAACTTTGACCTTTGGGCCACCTAGCCATCCCCCACAAACATCATCACGTCCTGAAGAAACCTGATGCCTTTCTCTCTGCAGTCCCCGTACAAGTATTAATCAAGGCTGAGCCCTCTGCCACTCCTTATCCTGAGATCTGACAAAACCAGGCTCTGAGACAGTGCTGCAAGAAGGCCTCCCCCATGCTATCACCATCTCTCAATGTCCTGTGATGGCCCAATCCATCTCACTCCTGTACGTGAGCTGCGGGTCTCATCACCGCTCCATCTCTCTCTGCTGGGGCATGTTCTCTGTCATCCCATTACCAGTCCCGTCCAATGGCCATAAACCCTTGCAATTCTGCCTAAGCAGCAACTATCAACAATTTTTTTTTTCATTTGAACTTTATAGCGGGACCCCGGGGGTTCCATAAACCCCTGGCTCTCGCATAAACTGCGTTGCAACGTCATTTTATGTCTGTTGAAGGCGAACGACACGTCGATCTATTCCTCTCGACGAGCTCTACATGATGCGATAATCAAAGTTTCAAAATTTTGTTTCTTCTGCACATTCGTCCTCGCTGCGCTTGGACGACATGACAACAGAATAATCCGCGCCCGGTGGGACGGAGTCACCAAAAATGAGTTTAACACGTAGGCTTTCACGACCAATATTATTCATAATAAAGTTTTTGGGTTAGATCGCGTTATTTATAAATGCGTCGTAACCATCCACCACCCGACACGGCCAATCAGCAAAAAAAGTGTCACGTTAACAAAAGACAAATAGTTCACTACTTTAGCCCACCGGTGTGTTGAAGCGTGAAACCACAACATTTACAAATTATCTTTTTTAATTATTACGATTTTGACTTCCGTTTATTCGGGACCCCGGGGTCCCACCATGAGGTTAATTTTACCAGGTAAGGCCCACTGAACTGCATAGGTATTTTTCAGAAGCGACTGGGCCACAAATCGTAGCTCAACGAAGTAACTTATCATGCGGAAGTTTATAGCAGCCAAATACTCTAATCGCGTGATTCTAAGTATGGTGTCTGACCCATTGGTGGTGGACACTAATTGAAAGGCCTCGTCAGTATTCCGCTCTTCATTGTAAATTTTACATTTTGCTCCGGTCAAGTGTAGCAAACGACTTTTAAGAGGCCACTAAAATATCCATTTAAACGCATTTACGGCTTGAACAACCAATTTATAGCTGTGTCCATTAAGTGTAAACTGTTTGCCCGGAGAGTAACGGTTGTTGTCTTTTCAGGTTAACGACTTAAGTTCTGACAATAATCGTGGCTACTGGATTTTTTTTTTATAACCCAAAGCAGTTCTCGACAACATTTGCCGTTCGCGAACGTTGTGAAGGTTGAGGAGAAATAAAAAAGACTTTGTTATGCCAAGAGAGGGAGAGCAAAAATGTTTTTGTGTGAAATTACAAAAAGAATCTCCGAGCGAAAACATTACAGCCGCAGTTCGGCGTTGTTATTGCTCGAGTCCTTTCAGCGCTAGGCAGTGCGTGCAGAAGGTGAAAGAAGCTCACGGGAAGGGTTGTTGCTCCGCTGAAGGACGCTGTTGATTGATGCTGCGGAGAGTACGTGTGTAGCCAGGCCACGTGTTTTGGTTGCGGGGCCTTGCCAATTCAAATTAGACAAATCCAAAAAGGAACTATTTGGTGCAACATTTGCTGCTTAGCGTGAAAAAAAAACGTTATCTTGCGTGTGATATTCTGCTTGGGCTGGAGGCTTTTGGATGCAGCGATGGCGATATGGCAATGGTTGCTAGAAACGGTGTTGAGCTCTGAGTTGTTGTTACTCCGTCGTATGTGTGGCTTTGCTCTGGGCACACAAGCTTCTTCCCGCATGCCAAAGACTTGTCAATGGAATTGATCAAACATTCCAATGGAGGATCCTCCTGAAAATGACTCTTGAGACTCGGTGAGTCTTTTCTGGTTAAATTCAGGGCATTTATTTTTGGTCTCAGTAATGCATGTTATGAATTTGTCATGACATGTAACAATCGTGATTCAAGGCGGTTCAATTCATGTAGGTGACAAGTAGTGATGTGGTCCCATAGTAATCACGTCTAGCTAATTATGGTGAAACCGCTGCAGGGGATCGGCCAAATTCAACGTTGAATACAGCGAAAAGTTAAATCAGGCAACCGAATCGAGTACAATTTCCCCCCTTTTGTGAACGCGCAACAAAAGGAAAAAATGCGCAAAGTTGTAAAAAGCCACGACAAGGTCGAACTGACAACGGGGAAACACATTTCAATGGCATTCAAAAGTATGCGGAGGTCGCAACTCTAATCGCTCACTCTCGCATTTCAATTTCCTCGCCTGCCCGGTACCGACCATGGATGACGACCACGACCACCACCACCACCACCACAAGTTCCACTTCTGGAATTAGCTGAGCGATATAACCCCGCGCACCGCCGTGGACACCTGCATGTCCTCCCCGTGAAGCTGAGCGCAGCTGACGCTAACCAGCGCCGTTTGTTTTAAACCAACTGCGCGTGACTAACGCGGGTTTCGCGCGGTGAGCGTAAATGCGCGTCTGGTTTATGTGACGACCCGGGTGGGGGGGGGGGTGGTGGTGGAGGCCCCACGCCGACCTTATAAAGGTGTGCATCTGGACACTTTTAACTTTGTGTACGGCTTGCGCAGGCGGGAGTGCATCACCGTCGCCGCCGGTCTCCTCGCGGAATGTTCGCGGGACGTCGACATGCAGGCCGCCCCGGGAGTAAACACAGATAAAAGCCACCCGTCTGTGTTTAGTCTAAATTGCGTCTTGCACACGCACACGCGCGCGCGCGCGCGTCCGCGCGTACCACCCGCGCACTGAACGGGCGGTGGCATTTCGCGTTGGACACTCGCACGCGCGGCCTTGTTTACGTTACGGCCCCGGACAGCCGCTGCTCACCGTGGGGGGCGCGGGGGGGTGGGTGTAAGGGGGGCGGGAGGGGGGTCGCGTCTTAGCGCTCCCTCTCCACTCAAGTTCCCTGAGCAACCCAAATAAAATCCTGAAGACCACTCGTTTGGCCGCGAAGGGCCAATTTTTTTTTTTTCCGGCATCTTCCGACCCGCGTCTCGATCGCTTTATGGTTCCCAGCTCTGGCACGACGACGGGTTTGAAAAGGATGTCGAATTCGGGTCGACACGCTTTGCTTGCTTGCTCGCAGGCATTGCGATCCAAGTGGAATTTGCGAAGCGCTGAATTGCTTGCCCTCCGAGCACCTGCTTCGAACGAGTATTAGAACGCGCACCGTCTGTTCTGTATCGTGTCGGGTTGTTACGTACCATATTGATTTATACAGGGCGGTATGCCGGGACGCGTTGATTCGTTGCTTCAAACTGACTGCTTCTCCTCAAGACACTTCAAACGTGTAGATAATCGCTGGCCCAATCACGAGATTTCTGGGTCACAAGCACGTCCACCAATGAGGACTGCAATCCAGGCAGACATCAGTTTTCCACATGTCTTGACAAGGAGGTGATGTTTCGATTTAAAGCTTTCGTGACTGCAGGGATTCATCTTCTTGGTTCTTTCGGTAAAGTCACGTAATAATTTTATTATGTTTTATTTTTATTATTTTATTACTTCCCTTCTACGTGACTTTACCGAAAGAACCAAGAAGACCTTAACACCTGTTTCATCGACGGAAGGGGGAAAACATATTCTTGGTTTTCAAACTTTGATCGTGGCAATGAAAGGTCCCATGAAAACCCATATTCTCTAAAACTACAGGTGACCTTAAGAATTACATCTCATACGAATTATTTTGATGATTTTTTTTCTTTTCTTTTTTACCATGCGGTCAAAAGAGAAACGGCTCTTAAATAAAGCCGTGACTGTGAATCGTGACATTTAATTGAATCAGTTGGGGGCTCGTGAATTGTCGCAGACCGAGTATGAATGGCGATTAGAAAATGTGACATGGAAATTCGTTGCAGACCAAAATGTACATTTTGTATTTGTGCCATTCTTATAGCACAAAGACTATCATTACCTCAGTGGCTATGATTAGGCATTTAAAGATTGACAGTTGTCCCCACCGTGGCGAGATGTTATCTCCCTTGCCTGGTATGCAGAAGGTCGCGGGTTCGAACCCAACCCTGACACCTGTATATTTGAAGTTTGCATGTTCTCTCTCCCCGTGGTCATGTGGATTTTTCTCTGGGTCCTCCAGTTTTTCCCTCCACATTTAGAAATATGCGTTCAGATTATTTGGCTACTATTAATTTCCACATGATGATGATCTGCTTCTTTGAGCTATCATTTGTGGCCAGATTGCTTCTGAAAAAGAGCTATATAGCTCAGTGGGCCTTATCTTGTAAAATAAAAAATAGTTTAGTTAAAAATTTTGATTTAAAGCTTTCGTGACTGCAGGGATTCATATTCTTGGTTCTTTCGGTAAAGTCACATAGAAGGGAAACAATAAAATAATACAAATATAAAACAATAAAATTCTCACGACGTTTCGAACTGCAACACAAGCAATCATCATCAGGTGTGAAATCCACAGCAAGAAAATATTTTTTATTATTTTATTGTTTCCCTTCTACTTTACTGAAAGAACCAATAATATAGTTTAGTTTTAGTTTAAGAACATTTCTGTCTTGAGTCCACTGCAGAACTGGCTCACACAGATAGTGACAAATCTCCTGGACGGTGACCGGCAGTGAATCCCTAATGCTGCGGGGGTTGTAGCCAGATGTCATATTGACAACTTTTAAACATCACAATACATACTCAATATTTATGTGTAACAGCAAGCCACGTCATTTTCCAGGGTACAGCTTTGATGAAGAGCTTCCTGTTGTGTTAAGTGACCACATAAAACTGTCAAGGCTGCTGGCCACTGTGCTGGAAGAGTTTGCGTCTTGCTGACGTAAGCCTATCCCGAGCGGTCAAAAGGTCAATGAGTCCAGTAAATTCAGTCCGCCGGCTCTTGGAAACTGCGAAGCCTCTAAAACGACAAGGAAATCCAACAAACTAAACACGTGTTTTGAGCAACGACATACGGTTTAGGAAGGACGCGCGTGTGGATTTAAAGCTTAGAATAAGAACATTAAAATGTTTCAGGAAACTTTTTATTATTGAGCATGTACGCAGACACCCCGTGTAAGGCTCTCCGAGTTGACGACGTGGGAAAACGCTGAGGAGGAAATGTATATCGCACGTTTTTTGCCATCTTAAGTTACGCACTTGAGGTCCAATTTTTTTTCATCACTCAACTCAGCTCGCGATTAGCGCTTGATTCCAGTCGGCTCCGAGTGTTCTTCATCATCGTCGAAGCTGTCGTGAAGGGTTCCCCAAGCGGTCGCCATGGCTCACAGTCACGCGATACGAGAATCCACCCAGCGCCCCGCGCATGAGCCGATCTCGACGCTCCATCTCTACGGTTGACGGCCTCTCGGGCGTTTGGGCGTGTTTCCTCTTTCGGCTATGATTCCATCGGTAGTCTTGACCGCCGGCCGTCAAATGGTCAAATTCCTAGAATAATTGACAAACATGACATAGAATATTTAAGAGGCATGCACATGTTGGCTTGCCATGCATTTACATTTTCCTGCATTCCTTCTGAGCCCTTGACCGCTTCGGGTGCCTTTACTCGGCAAATAATTGACTTGTTAGAAACTCTTTTCCACGTGACCGGGCGTGGACCAACACCCACAAATTTTATATTCTTTCCCAAAGAAAAAGTGGAAAGGAGTGAAGCGGATTACATGGGTACTCAATCAATCGCATTCTGCCCACCATTTCCCGCTTCACTTACCTTAACGCTTTCCAAATTAAGGGTGTACTCCTCCTGGACACGTGAAACCTTCAACTGGGGGCCTGCGATGCTGTCAACACTCACCGTTAGACCAAAGTCAATAAGCACATCGGGGGGACGTTGGTGGCAGCTGCCAAAAGGTTTCCAACGCGGTGCGCAGTCTGTCAAGGCAAATAATGTACAACTCAATTTGTGGTTGGGCTACATAGAGTAGAGAGGCGAGGCGTGAATTACCAATTCGTGAGTGAGTCGCAGATAAAAATGTGAGGCTCCATGGAACAATTTTCAAAGTTCACTTGACCCCACGGTAAACTGTATGTTTAATTATTGATGGCACCAACAGTGGCTTCAGAACGCGTGTGTAATTAGAGTAACGAGGCAGTTGTCTGCCTCCTTCATTGTGCTGACAAAAAAAAGCATTTTTTCCCACCCCAAAGTGACCAGGCCTCAATGTTAATGATATGTGGCATGGTTAGCTTTGTAGAGCGGTCCAGGAGATTCCTAGACATGTGGTTAATGAACCACATCGGTGCAACTGCCCACCCGATGGTGAAAAAAGGACCGGCAAGTGAAAGACTATTGGCAGATTAGGCCATGAATCATTAACCTTTAACCCTTTCCCCTCCCTCCTAACTCTCTTTTCTTTTTTTGTCGTTTTTTCCCCTTTGCTACCTTAACCTTTGTGAACTTTTGGGGATGGGCACAATGGAAAGAATAGACACCAGACCTTGGGTGTTCTCACACAAAGGACGTGGTCCATCCTAGGCCCGAGCATTTGTAAACCATGGCAACGGTAGCCATTTTAATAATCAAATTAAAATACCAAATGTTCGTTTCGTCAGTTTTCTCAAGTACTGATTTAAAGTAAGTGATAGCGGACACAAGATACACCAACGTGACATCTTCCCTGATATTCATGCGTTTTGTGGGATATTTTATTTAAAAGAGAAATATTTTCATAAAAACAAATGCTACTTCATCAACGGCATTGACAAGCATCACAATGATTAATCTGTCGGACCAGTGGTGAACTTGCTCTACCATGGGTATTGTATTGCTCATATTTGTCTATTCTCCAGTCCTCCATTGTTGAGATTTCCTGTGTTTATTAATTGTACCGACACAATTGTTTTACATGAATGCGCTCATTATCTTGTGTTACTCCTCGAACTCCGAAACGTTTCTGAACATTAGGGCGGGAAATATGCGAATAATACCTTTGTTTTGTGTTCGAGTTAAACTTAGGGCAACAACAATTAACGTTGAAGAAGTTCAACAACAATTTTACATTGTTTCATAGTTTTATAATGTTTAGCAAGTCGCGAATGTGCCTGTCACTCCCACGTGTTTGCATTTCTGCCGCACTCAACTTACCATGAGTTCTGCCCTCTCGCTGTGCGTGCCCTGGGAATCATTGTTCCCCACACTTGGCAGGGACCTGTCAAACATCTCAAGCCAAACTCACGGGACAACCGCCTTCTTCGGAAACTTGTTTCTACACGCGCACGCTCTTCCATTTTTGGTTCTCGCCGCGGAGCATTGGACCCCGGCTATTACTTTAAGCAGGAATGCCTCGCCGAGTCTTGAAGACACGCTGTTCGGAAGGGTCTTGCTACATTGGATTGCTGTCCAATGAACCTCGTGTTTCGTTTAGGGGTTTTTTTCTTTTACCGTGTGGGAGACATCTGTAGTGCTGGAGGAAAACCTGCCATGGCTTCGCTCTCAAGATCCAACAAGGTCAAGGGACATTTTGTGTGGTGGTGGCAAACATTCTAGAGTTGAAGTTTTCGTGACTGCAAGGATTCATACTCTTTGGTTTTTTCGGTAAAGTCACGTGGGTAAAAAATTCAACTTGATACAGTCATTTTGCTGTGACGGTTCTACCTGAAGACGGAAGCTTGTGTTGCCTCCGAAACGTCGTGATTTAATGTAGTTGGTTTTTTTCATTTAACTTTTTTACCTACGTGACTTTACCTGAAAAAAACAAAGAGTATGTGTGGCAAACAGTGTTTTGCTTGGGGGAATTAACAGTTGCCCAGTAAAATTATTAAATCTATCCCTTTGTAAGTTTATCACCACACCGGTCGGCGTAGATTGGTGATGTGGGGGGCCTGTGCTGTTTCAGATATTTCTCGCCACTGATGTTAGCTGTGGCTGGGGAATTGATCTCAGGTCACCGGATTCATAGTGCAGTGCGCTAACTTCTGTACCATTACTCCGTTCATAAAAGCACGTAAAATGCCGCTTAAAGCAACAGCAAAGATGAAAGCCCAGTAAAAAAAAGTTGCTCTGTAAAAATGACAAAGCAAAACCTGCTACCCAGTATTACTTATCATATGTTATTCTCTATTACGTCCTACATTTGGTGTGGTTAGGAAGCAAATACAGAAGGAGATGTTCCAGTTTCAAAGCGTTTTCTTTACTTTTAAATTAAATATTTATAAATCGCATGACAACCCATCGTAGTTTTTTTTAGCTTTCTGTCTGAACCATCAGACAGATGCCTGGTATAAAACTAAACACACCAGCAAAACAAAACACATGAATGATTCCAGATTTGTTACACGAGACACTATTCCCACCACTGTGTACTTGAGTTTACATTCAGTGTCCATTAACATCGGGACGTTTGGGAAATGTTTCCTCTTCTGGGCTCAACAGAATCCGACTTTCCCACGTTTCGAACTCGGGCCACCGGATCTATAGCACAGTGCGTTAATCACTGCACCACCACTCCCCGGGCACAGATAGGGGAGGCCTTTGTGGAACAGCGCAATGAGATTGGGTTGTAAATTCACGTTTTTTGTTGTTGTATTATTTGCAACTATTTTGTTAGTCGACTGCTGGATGAAGGCCTCCTGACGTGTTTGCTGTGAGGGTTGTTTGACCATACTTCACCACGCTTGCCATTGCAGGATGTTAAGGGGGTTTGCCCAAGACCAGTTCAATTATTATTCGCCACTGCTGTTAGCCATTACCAGGTATCGAACTCGGATCACAGATTTCAATAACTCCTACTTCTATAGAGCTCTTCATCCATGGATCACAGACCACTGTCCACGACATGCATACACAATCTGAATAAAAATCAATAAGCATAGCTCTAACCACCTTGCCGCAATTCCACCCCACATCGCACTACACACATTGCGCATTCCTCCACGCGACAATCGAATTTTGTCCTGTTCTGTAAACCCCGAGGTAGGTAGGACGCCCAATTACTGCACGTGCATCTTGAACTCTCCGTGCACAGCGCGCCTGTGGGCTGCCTCGAGTGGAACAGATGGCAAGCCCGTCTTGCACAAATAATGGACCATGAGAGAAGCAAATCCTGGTAGGCAATCAGAGAAGGTCGTGAAAGGACCCTCCGTCTGGATTGCTTGAGCGTCGGTTTTCCTGTTATTGTTGCAGCAATCTCCGCTTCTCCTCCCGGCTGCTTCCCCTTTGTCACTGTTTAAACACAAGGAAAGCAATGGGAAATGGGATGGGCCCCCTCCGCTGTCCAGAGGCTCCCATCACATTTGTAAAAATCTAAAATCACAGCGCGATTTTAATAAAGTTGTCTATTTGGTAATTGTTTTTGTTTTACCCTTCTATTAGAGCCTAGTCTCACACCCATGTGAGACTAGGCTCTAAGGAAAGCTGTCTCGGGTGTGGATCAATCCACTTCAAGGACAGTGCATATATTATCAGAGTTATGTTTTTTGTTTGCATTATGACTGCAGGTATTGCGGTCTATGCAAACATGACTCCTTGTAAAAAAAGGTGTCAGTTTTGTTGCCAGATAGAAGGGTATAAAATATAAAACCAATCATGATATTTTATACTGGCAAATGAGGTTCCAATGTTGTCTATTTGGGTCAAGGTCACCACCCCTCCAAGTGATTTAGGTGTCACCAGTTCCAGCGTTAATCAATTATAAACAACTTTAGATAAATATAGCTCGTACGTGCCTGTTATTGAAAGGCATAAGCGGGTTCAAGACGTGGCGCAATTCAATTTGTACAATTCAATATCCGAGTAAAGCTGAGTTGGCTTGGGCAGGGCACACATCTCTGGAGGGGATGCTGGCCGTTGGTCAGGAAAAGTTGATGAAGCGGCAGCCAAGGTACGGAACACGTCCCAGAGGACGTCCGCCGAGAAGACGTAGCGACGAAAGCAGTTCGTGTGCTGGTGCTAGGTGGATTATCGCAGAGTAACGATGGCAAGTGCTTGGGGAGGCATTCATGCAGCAGCGGATTGATCGTGGCTGGTGACGATGTATGTTACATACTGTGGTGGAATCATAATAATTGATCATTTAAATTTATGAAGCGCCCTTTAACAATCGTTCTCAGGGCACTAAATAGTGGCACATTGGTGTTTTAGTTCACGGGCCCGAGCATAAATCGGTACCAGCTGGGGATGGCGGAATGTTAGTCGTACCGATTTTCATATATGGCTAAAATGAGAGTGGATTGCTTGAGAGGCAGCTCTCCAGACTCATTTCAAATGGCTATCACAAACTTCACCATTATTAAAGTTGTGCCACCTCAGGTGGTACCGACAAGATATCTGGTCTGGACTCATGGACTATCTGGGACCACAGTTAGTCTCGTACACTCCTCCACTCGGCTGAGGAATAGATCGACATTGTTGCATTCATGTCCTGCGTGTGCTTTGGATGCTCAGCGGGAAAGCTGAATTTACATTGCGTTTTTTATTATAGGCTTTTCACAAAACTTGTAACTTTACTCAAGAAAACACTTTCTAACTTTAAAAGCTCCATTATTTGCTTCCTATCTGGTACAAATCTACGACAATGCCATTTAGATGTTTTATTGAGCGGAACTATGTTTATTTTAGGGGTCAAGTGGTGGCGAAGTGGTGGCGCAGTGGTTAGCGCACTGTGCAATGATTCTGGTGACCCGAGTTTGATTCAAAGCCATGGCTAACATCAGTGGTGATATCTGAAACGGTCCTGGGCCAACCATTCACCCACATGCACTAGCCAGTGTGGTGAAGTATGGCCAAACAACCTCTATGACCATGGGGAGGCATTGATCTCGCAGTTGTTAGACAAACGGCTGAATATTTGTAATATATTTTGATGTATATACTGCTATATTTAGGCGGATATTACGTGTATCGTGGACTGCAAAGAAAACAAATGAATGGGTTCCGGAGAAGGCTGTTGTTGAAAGAAGGTGATAAAATCAGGAAAGCTTAGCCTACGATGGGTCATGTCACGAGAAAAAATTGAACTTGTTTGGAAAAGCAGATTATGCAAGGCACAATACCTGGTTCACGTGCGCGAGGAAGCCCAGGGACGACTTGGACGAGGCTTGATAAAAGGTCTCTATATCAAAGGGAGACCTGCATCACAAAGCGATATAGCGTATGTGTGAAATAGGTGAAACGTGAAGAACTCCAAAATGAACATCGAAGCATTGAGCAATTAACAATAATAATGCGTGAATCCATGGGACTTATTTTCCAGGATTCACCAGCGGGTATACATGACCATATAGGGACTGAAAATAACGACACATCAAAAAAAATCGCCTCGTAAAATAACTACAACATAGACCTCCGTAATTGGTAATAACACATTTGCTCGTGTGCTTTCAACCAAACACTAATCTCAGACAAGCTTTTTTCTGTCTGTCTCCTTTTTCTTCCCACACTCACAAATTAAATTCGGGGGTGGCTTTTTTGCTGTTGTTGAGGCCTGTGAGATGAGACGGCCCTCGGTGCCCTCTCAAGAGCCTCGAGGGCCTGTTCCCCCTTGAGGACTATCCATGGGTAGCGGCCGAGGGTCCTTGAGCTGCCCTCCCCAGCCCCCCAACCCCAGGGGTCGCTTGACCCCTTAGAGATGTTCGCGCTCGGGCCGAGGCTAGACCGCCGGCCTTTATTTCGCTTAAAACCCCCCTGCTCTCCACAAAGATGCGACGTGAAGCCTCCAAACGTCTACACATTTTGAGTGCCTAGAAATACAAATTTGGGAGCCCTTTCGGAAAGAGACGGGGGGGACGGTGGAGGGAGACTTTGGGGGAACCGAAAGTCGCGGGCGGATTTTGTTGACCTGAAACAACGCAACGTGATTGTAAAAACTGCAAACTGTTTAAGACATCTGTCAGGTTCGGGCGGAGTAAAGGAGTCGTGCTATATAAACAGCGATACACAATGCGGTCCCATTAACCCCACGGTCGCGTCAACGTGCGTGACCTGGGCAGACCTTGGCGTGTGGGCCACCCGTGCGAAAGCGCCGCCTTGTCACGCACACGCAGCGTTCAGCCTCCTCCGTGGCACGCTGGGGGTAACGTCCGTAACGGTCGTACCCCAAACGGCGCTCTCGGGGGCCCACTCCTGTCCTGACGACGGCGCGTCGTGATAAACGGTGGAATGTTTAGTTGTCACGTGAATATGGGTTTTTTTTTTCCCCCGCGCTTGTTGGTTCGGTGAAAACCGGGTGCTTCTCGGAGTTGCCTTGCTTCACGCGCTCCAGCCCAAGACCGATGAAATTCACCGATGAGTTCACAAGATTCGTGAAAAATCACGACAGTCGCCAAACTCGATTCCAAGCAGGAATGTCGTCGCTTTGAGCAGATCCCCGGCACAAGCTCCACGCCAGTTTGTCCAAACCGGGCCCCCTTTCTTTAGGCAACACTGCACTCTGTACGAGGGTTATTGGAGTCACAGCTCGTGAAGGGGCATTGAGATGGCTTCTCTGTGCCCTCCTGATTTTTAGCCTGACACCGTCACCACATACAGATTAGCGTTTTAACAATGACGCTGTACATATGCCCGATGTCTTTATTATTATTATTGTTCATTACGTTTGTTTACCCAGGAAAGCCTCACTGAGTCTCGGGACTCTTTTGCAGGAGTTTCCTGCCAAGTTTTCGCAGTAGGGGGGTGATGATTGCTGCGATGTACAATCCCAATTGAGTAATTTGCGGTGTAATTTTTAATATACGGCATATTTGGACGACAACGGCCGCACACGCAAAATGGCCTATGCTTGCGAACGACGTCACGGGATGTCTAATGTCCACGACAGAGCAGACGGCAGCGTGGTGTTGTCGTGGCATATTCCACCCTTTACATTAACCAGGACGGCCACTGGGTCGGAACCACGAAGCTCTGCAACGAACAGCGGCGAGCACGCTGCCGCTGAACCCCGTGTCACCACCTGTTACGTAATGCAAGAGGAAATTTACCAGAGTGTTAGTCTCTAACTTCACTCCCTGTTTCATAAGTGATTGATCAGTGTTCAAACGAGACGAGTGCTTCTGTTTGGCAGTGGAAGTATATATTGTGCATGTTTGGAATTGCCGGGTCTGTCTGGAATATTTCTGCATGGTGAGTGGGAGGTGTAGGATAAAAAAAAAAATTCGGTTTGGAATTTTGAAATAAATATTTAGAACGACTGAATAAATGTGGGGCCTCATGCCCTTTTAACCCAAACTCGTTTGTGCATGTAAGCGTTGCAGCCCTCTTTATGAATCCATTCCTGGATGAAGGCCTTCCCACGCTCGCATCCGTCGTGGGGGTTGTCTGACCATACATCACCGCGCCGGTCATTGCGCATTGGTGAAGCAGGTGGCCCAAGACCGTTTTGATTACCGGCCACAAGTGCCGCGGCCGGTATTTGAACTCGGGTCGTTGGGCTCAGAGCCCGGTGCTCTAACCACTGCGCCACCGTTCCACCGCTCATTTACAAGGGCAGTATTTGCACGCAGAAATATATAAAAGTGCACATAATTTGCCCTGTGCTTCTTGAAATAAATGCACGCGGATACAACGTAATTTAACATTTGGGAACGATACGTGAATCATGTTTTCAAATATATATAAACATATGAGCTCTATAAAACTGGTTTGACATTTTCCACAGACGGTGCAGGATACAGACAAAAACAAACTTTCAGGCGACGGTGTTTGGTTTACCTGCAAATAGTCAACATAGGATGCGTGCATAGACATCCTCAGGTTGTCCCGGATTTTATGTTTTCAAAAAGGTCTGTTTTTAATGTTCGCCCAGTGGAAAGAAACAACAAAGTAGAATTCCTTAAGGGTGCAGTTCGTCTGAAACACAAACAGAAATGTTCCATAACACCATCGCGGGAGCTTACTCAGCTCCCCGAGTGGGGACATTCATCGGCGCCGACATCGCATTGTTTGAGATTTCGACAGAAAAGAAAAGTTCCACTCACGTCTGCTGGGAATGGGGATATTAACATTTTAGATTTTTTTAAAACAACAACAAAAGGCATACGAGTACCAAATAAAAGATATGGCAATAACAGAAGGGACAAATTGTGAGAAAACGTGCTTGGGGCTTTTGTGCGCGGATGCAAGCTGTGCTCGGAGGGTTGAACGTGTCTAGAGATTTGCATTGTGGGACAACTCACATTGTCATCATTACTACTATCACGCTTGTACACCCACGAAAGCCTCACCGAGTCACACGACTCTTTTAGTGGGAGGGAAGGGGTCCTGCCAAGTTGTCGCAGTCGGTGGCGATGATTGTTACGTATATTCCATAATTTGCCGTGTGCGAATAAATTTTTTTTTTCTTTTTCGATTTAAAGCTTTCGTGACTGCAGGGATTCATCTTCTTGTTTCTTTCGTTAAAGACCAAGAAGAAAAAAACATTTTTTGCTCAAATTGGGCCGTGACGCCGGCAAACGATGGCCTACTCTTCCGAACGACGTCACGGGGATCTTTTAACATCCGCTGACTGTGATGCAGACGGCCCCCGTAGTTTTTCTGTGTTTTTTTTATGCTTGATACTCCCATAGTACTCCCGTAGCAGTAACCAGCGGCGGCCGCTGAACGAGAACCGTGGACGTGTGCAATGAGCGAACGAACGCTCGACCGCTCGGCCGCATCCCACGAGACGATGGTCTGGTGACCCAGCAGGCAGTTTCGAGCGCGGGCCCCCGAAGTACGATCGAATTTGTCGTCGCGTAAAGAGTTGACACGCTCTCGAAGTGAGCAAGAACTTGTGGAAAATGGACGATGGAAGGGAATTCCAGTCGACGAGCGTGAGCTAAGGCTGCCGCGACATCACTTTTCAAGATGCTTTTTGATAGATCCACTTTCAAGATATGTACGTATGAGTGGTGAACTTCTTTCGCACCGTACACAATCAACCGTGCTAATGGGAGGTGCTGGGGAAGGCCACCAAACTGTGGGTCTCTGTGCGAGTCTTTTATGTATGTATGTTGAACTTCTATTGCACCGTACGTAGCCAACCATGCTAGTGGAAGGTGTGGGGGAAGGACAAACTAAAGACAAAAAGCAGTTGGAAATAAAAGAGTTTTCAATCTAGATGGTTTAAAAGTGTATAGCTCCAGTGGATTCCTAATATCGGAAGAAAGAGCATTCCAGACGGCCGGTAGACATCTTTGTTCGATGGCTAGCCAAAATCCGCTGCGATATGACGATTGCCCTGATATCAGTTCCCATAACTTTATAATTGTATTTTGCATTTTTGTTCTATGATAAGGTTAGCTGATCGACTGTGATACGGGACGAGTTACATTGGCTACCTATCAAACATAGCATTGTTTTAGATTTGAAGCTTTCGTGACTGCAAGGATTCATATTCTTAGGATTTTCGGTAAAGTCACGTAGGTAAAAATTTTCAATCAATAAAAGTAAAGAAACGTCGTGATTTTTATTTTATTTTTATTTTACTTTTATGAATAAAATTTTTTACCTACGTGACTTTACCGAAAAATGCTAAGAATATAGGATTGTTTACAAACTATGCCAGCTCATCTGCAAGAGTCTGCATCGATCAGCTCCGTCCTATCTTGCCGAGCGGCTGTACCAACCTCAACGGAACCCCAATTTTACGCCGGCTACGATCCAGAGCCCATGGCGACCGTTCTGCTGTATCCTTGCACACAACCTTGTCCGGCGATACGGCCAGGGCAGCTTCACCGGGGCCTCGGGGCCAGAGAACTGGGCCTGGTTACCGGCAGCAGATGTTTGAGACTCCTTAAAGTCAGTTTTCAACAGACATAAAACAGAGTTGTACTCTGTTTGATCAGCGCACATTCGTGATGGACTAGACTCGTCAGAACATGTGATCACGAATGTTCAGACGGACTAAATGTTCTACAACTGCCATTCACTCAACCCAAGCCTTTCCACGACTCTTTATAATCATTATAATCTGCAGTGCTTATCAAGGCCCATGTTGTCAGTTACACAAAAACTAAATATAATTTCATGGACCACTGCAATGATGACATCATTTAATCGCCACGCTGTCATTTAACAGCAGAAAATATTTAACAAAGCATTAATTGAATGAATAATGCGAGTTTATTTTCAACTTGCATTCAACATATATTTGCCATGAAATACAAATACGTGCAAAAAATGTAATGACCAACGGTCATGCCAATATTTATTTTTTCTGAACGGATGGTACGATTACCGTGGACCCTCGTATCGTACGATGTGTTGTAGTCTCGCCACATTGCGACAACTTGTAACGCGAACCCGGCGCAATGCCCAGTGGCCCACACTTGTGGTCTCAATTCCCGCTGGGCGACTTGTGAAATAAATCTGGTTGGGATTTATGAGAACGGGAATTAATTGGAGCGTCGGCTTGCCAACGCGATTGTGTTACGCGTGTTTGGAAAAAAATCTCCAAAGAAATTGTTCCATCGCGGCGATGACACATCGCCGTCTGTGGCTTGTTCTGCTGTTTTTGCTTCTGCCAAATGAAATCGGCAATAATTTGATGACTCCATCACCAGACGCGGAACCCCAGAAACAGCGATTGGAAATACTTTTTGCGATACCCTTTCATACATCGTAAAATGCAGACACAGTGTGTTCTGGGGATTAGCAACTCGAATATAACAGTTTTTATTTTGTAGCTGGCATGACGGTTTCCCTTTTTTAAAAAGCGAGGGGTCAAAACACAATCTTTCCCATACAATTTCCTTACAAAAGATAGCCTTGTAAATGGGAATAAAGACTCCTAACCATCGAGAGGAATGTATTTACCACGTCTGCACAGATACCTCTTTGTCTTTTGATGCTATAATCGTAGTGCCAAGCGAAGATTATCACGTGGGCAATCCTGACTTAAATGTCAGATGTGTCCTCGAGCATCTAATATAGGCAGACACCCCCTGCCCCCCCCCCATCTTGAATGCCTTGAATTTCGTGACATCCGAACACTATGGTAACTGTTTTGGTTTATCTTGGACAAGTAAAAGAAATCTTTATGGGCAACTTGGGGAACTGATCAAATGTAACAGATGTAAAATATCTTCAATTTGAAGCTTTCGTGACTGCAGGAATTATTCTTTGGTTCTTTCGGTAAAGTCACGTATAAAGATAAAATAATAAATTAAATAATAGCATACGACGTTTCGATTGCAACACAAGCAATCATCATCAGGTATAAATGAAATAGCAACAAAAAATCTAACCAGAAAACTATAGACAGACATATAAGCAGACAGATATCACCAAGATACATACAGAGAGTAACACAGGGTACAGAGAGGGGGATCGTCTCTGTGGGGTGTTGCAATCGAAACATGGTATGCTATTATTTAATTTATTATTTTATCTTTATACGTGACTTTACCGAAAGAACCAAAGAATAGATGTAAAATAATACAAGACTAACACATTAACGGCAATCTCTCTTGCTCTTGCCTCCTTCCTAAGTTCATCTGGGACATTTTGTGTGGATGTGCTGTGTCCAATTTGTTTTCCTAGTCTGCTGATGTTTACAGCCCTTGGTCAATCCGCTGCTGGATGAAGGCCCCCTCCCTCCATGGTGTGTCGGTCATGGGGGTCGTTTGACCATACTTCCCCACGCTTGCTGCGTGTGGCATCTCTACGTGCTATGAAGAAGGGCGAGTGTCCAAAACGTCGCCTATTGTATACTGTTCCTTTTATGGAAGTATTGACGAGTGTGTTGAGTGTTTTTTTGTTGTTCGTTAATTATGCCTTGTGCACCACTGCATCGCCACATAATTTGGTCACTGTGGGTTGGTGAAGTTGGGGATGCCAACACCGGTTCAGATATCACTCGCCACCAATGATAGCCGTGAGCAGTAATCGAACTTAGGTAGCCGGGTTTAGAGTGCAGTACGCTAACCCGTGCATTTGGTTTGTGTTACCCAGGTCTCTCTTTAACAACATTTTGGTTTATCTATGACTTGATTCCTACCTGGTCACAAATAAAGAACCCACATTATTGGATTAGCAAGGATGACCTTCAAGAATGCATGCCTCATTGAATTACAAGTTAACATACCATGTTGGATTTTTTTCTAAGCTGACTCTTTCGGTTCTGGCCTTCGTAATGTTTTGACTTCTTAAAAATCACAAAGCTTCTCAGGCCGAGGAGTAAAACGGCAATAGAGTCATTCTTTCATCACTCGCCGTTGTCGGGCACTTGGGGGGGGGGGGAAACGTAAACCAAACTGCGAGCTGCTTCTCACACCAAATCAAATCAAGTCATCGGTACATTCGCTGTCCGTGCCACTCTAATGACACTCGGCCATCGCTCAGGCAATATGCTTCACAGCTGAGCATCGTTGTCAGTAGTTTACAGCAGAGGGGAGACATGTTGCAGTCTGGTTTTCCCCCCCCGGCCCCCCAATACATTTTCAGGTAAACTTAAAAAATTTGGAACTTGACGCCGGCTGCGATAGCGGCCTCCACTTTTACTGCGAAGTGTCCGCTACAAAAGCGGATGGTGCACGCCGTTTGATTTGTAGCAGCGGGCGCTGCGTTGACCAGGGCGGCCGCCGGGCTTCTACCGCGAAGCCTCCGCGACAAGTGGAACGTTCTCCGCCGCGCAAAGCCTCGTCTCATCCTGCGCAGTAGCGGAACGTTCCGTCCGGAGGCTTTTGGCCATCGTAAAAACAAAAAACGGACGGATGCAACAACAGATAGATCAATGTAAACCCAGTTGCAATTCGCCAATGGTCAAAGTGGATTCTGTACCTACGCATGCATTTTATGTACGTGTGTTGAACTTCTTTCGTACCGTACGTAGTCAACCGTGCTAATAGGAGTTCTACTGTAGTACGGTTAAAAAAATCCTACATGTTTCTCGTGATAAACTATGATCCCTAAAAGTCCACATCATCCGTGTGATCCCTGCCATCCCTGCTCCATCAACCATTCCTCCAAAACTCACCTCGTCCCTGCTTCCTCCAAACCAAGCCACACTCTCTTATTATCCCTGTGACGTTATCGGCTCAATAACAGAGTGCCCGTCGTAGATGCCAATGCAATTTTCATCAACGGGCAGATGACGGGACGTGTGAACTTTGAATGCTGGCAGATGGCTGCAATGCCCCCCACCCACCCATGGCATTTTGCGCAACCCAGAGCCAGCATTGGTAGGCATCGAAAGATGTCGGCGATGAATGGGGAGAGACTGAAGTTTTTTTTTATATCTGATGAAGTGGCCTGTTGCTGGGTGGCCGAACGAGTCGATGGCATAAACAGTCGTGAGTCAAAGTTCAAAGGTCAGCGTAGTGCAGACGGCGGTGCGCGCGCGCGTGCAACGCGCTGCCTGGCCATCGCGCCGCCGTGCTTCGGGGGAAATGATGTGGGGCTGTGGTCGGCCGACGTCGAGGTGGGGTGGGGGGGGAGGTTTGGCTCGTCGTGCCGGGGGACTGCTTCATCATGGGGGAGGCAGGAGTGGGAAACGGGCTCGCTTGGTCGACGCGCTCCGCTTGAGAAAAGCAATGAAGTGAATTTGGTTTTTTAGCAGTCTGTCTATTAATCTGCTGACTTTGATTCGCACACTGGGCTTGTTTTATTTTTATTTGTTTCGCCCGAATAATGTTTACAACTGATAATGGTGTTTACTTTGGCCACTCTGTACCATCTCATTCCCTCCACGGTGACATTTGAAATGCCTAGCACAATCATTATCACTACGCCAAGACTTGAGCTTTGGCGTGCACATTTATCTTACGCAAAAAAGACGAAAGTCCCCCATATAGCCTAACATAGACTGTTAGGTCAATTGTTGTTAGCGAGCACCTATGAAGGCTGGCAGGGCATACGATGGTGTTGGTGGCCAACGTTACGCCCAGCCACCTTTGTCTCCCCAGTGCTTAAGTTTACACACTGCACCTGGGACTCATTTACGGCTGCGTCAGCTTAGGCTAGGCGTAGGACCAGTTCATATGTTCATCACTGTTATTGTTTGTGAGTGGGAATCGAACTCTGGATGCTGGATTCATAGCACGGTGTGGTAACCACTAAATTACCACTGCATGCATGTGAATATACACACACACAGACACATAGACAAGGAGCCCTGTTGTGTATCCTTTACAGAATTACCTATCCAGCATCACAAGACCATGACGGATGGAATTAGGGGATTTCTCCATCGAGCGGAGAACAGAGAATCTTTGATGGTGGCCAGATGTTAGCTCCCTCGCCTGGTATGCAGGAGGTCATGGGTTTGATTCCTACCCTGACGCCTCCTGTATATTTGGAGTTTGCGTGCTTTCCCCGTGGTAGTGTGGATTTTTATCTGGGTCCTCCGGTTTCCCCCTTCACATTTAGAATCAACATCACGCGTTTAAAGTATTTGGCTGTTATACATTTGCACGTGACAAGCTACTTCGTTGAGCTATCATTTGTGGCCATGACGCTTCTGAAAAATAGCTAAGTAGCTCAGTGGGCCTTACCTGGTTAAATAAAAATAAAAAATAGTGTAAGTTGTGGGATAATGCACCGCATATTAGGACCATTTATGTGGCCAGCATCACTCCTCAGCGCCTTTTTTGTTTCAGCAGGTGCCCAGGGGATAGGTACAGCAAACGTAAGGCATCCATTCGTGGGATTCCGAGTTTCGATCCGGTTTCCTAACAAAAGCTAAACACACATTCATGGATTTGGCCCAGCATCTCAAACACAAGAAGGCTTGTGAAAACAACTCCCAGGACTCGGAAAAGGCTTTCCCGGGTAAACTTAGGGCATTATACTCGCGATAGCTGAGACGTGATACCAGGTACTCCTTTTAAGAAGAAGTGATTTAGGGACCAAACCCCTGGCCAGATAGACACATGGCGAGGAAAGGTTCGGAATTTATCCCGGGTCGTAGGGAGATTACCAGGGTCATGCCACCATACTGGATACTTGGAGGGTTTTTCACCTCTCAAGGTTGTATACATGCTCGAGTGGTCAGAGCAGTGCGGTGCCGACGCAGGTATTGACAACATTTACAACTGCCAAATGTCATTTTGCATATAAATATACATTCCCGAGGAAGGCTGACCTTTGGGCTGGTTGGGCAATTCTTTCCGTGTCCGTGTTAACTCTTTGACTGCACAACCACAACCACATTTGCCCTTCTGGATGGGTAAATAAAAGACAGTTCCGAACAAAGAAAGGAATTTGCGGCATTTACAAAATCAAAAAGGAGAACCACATGCCTTTTTAGATGATAGGAATATCGAGTTATGACTGTGCTTTGATGAAATTTAAATCATTTCGCTGTGGGCAAAAAAATAAATTATGGAGATTTAAAAAAATCGCTCCATTATACCATTGTTGGTATTAAACTTGCTGGTACTCAATCCGTCTGCAACTGTCGCAACACAATAATGGTCACTGTTACATTGGGACTAGAGCAAGTGTGAAACTTTCGCAACACTTGATCATGCCAACGTGTTCGGGGGTGGAGGGTGGGGGTCGAGGTGCCGCCCAACATTGCGGCCGTACCTCGGCACGAACCACGGTGATTCCGTTACGCGCCGCCCGCTTCACAGTGGACAATGAATAGCCCCGTGAAGTAATTTGGAACAGTTGGGCCGCTTGCGTGCTGAATTGAAAGCGGTGATGATGATGTTGTTGTTAACGATGACGAAGGTGCCATGGTGGATTGATGATGATGTATTATGTGCGTTGAACTTCTTTCGCACCGTACATAGCCAACCGTGGAAGGACAACGAAACTATAGATTTAAAAGTGCTTCGCTCCGGTGGCTTTCTAATATCGGAAGGAAGAGCGTTCCAGACGGCCGCAGAAGCGCGTCCGAAAGAACGCAATGATGCAGTGACCACCGTCTTTGTCCGATGGTTCGCCAACAGCCGCCGCTGCAAGGATGACCGGAGTTTGCGCGACGGTTTATGACGGCGGCTGCGGCGGTGGCATGGATGAGCACGGCGGTGTTGATGACGTGTCCGCGTGCCCGTGTCTGCCCGTTCCTGTGTGTGCGCAGGGTAACAAGGTGTACAACGGACCGTGCAATGGGCGCGACTGCTCCGGTGGCTGCAAGTGCTTCCCGGAGAAGGGGTCGAGGGTGAGTCCCAGCGCCCTCCACCTCCCCCTCGCCTCTCTGTGTCTCTCCCTCTAACGTGCCATCGCCATCCAAACACGGTACCTGCTCGCTAACGCAGAGCTGGGATGATTAGTCGATGAAGTCATTGGTCCTTCCCCCGCACCTTCGATTAGCACGTTTCGCTACATAAGGTGCAAAACAAGTTCAACGTACAGACATACATCTCGAGTGTTCTCGCCTGGTGATACGAATTAAACTTGAAAACTTGAGGATGTCAAGCAATGAACAAAAAACTCAATCAACTACCTCCTTGTGTCGTCGATTACGCGCCCAACATTTAAAAATGGACCACACGAAGGCAGGAAACCCCCCCTGCTACAGGCCACGCCCAACGTGGCGAGACTGCCGATGGCGATGACGTCAACAAACCACGCCCATCACCTCCCATCCAGCGGCACATGTGAGAACAGAGGCGAGGTTGTTTTTTTCCCCCCCCCTATAAGTTTTGTAACACCTGGAGTAATTGATTTGGTCTGATAATCTTGGCATGATGGGGTGATCCAATTTTTGGATGTTCGTTTGGATTTTGGGGATCATCTCTTTGCATCGACATTCGAGTTCTCTTCATCCGTGTTCCTGAGTAATCTACTCAACGGGAGTTTTTCAACAGCATGGTTCACTGTTCGTCTTGACGAGTGTCCGTCATCTTCATGAGCGGTTCTCGCTTGTAGTTTTCCCAAGACTTTATCACTCATGTCCTTCGCGAGTCTCAGCAGTGCAGCAAAATCAAATGTTGTGCTGCATTTCTATGCTGCTGCGATCTACGCTCTCCACCTTTCACCGAACCGCGCTGACCGGCATGGTGAAGTATGTTCAAATAAAACCCCCCACAACTCCCGCAGCATCGGATGCCCCGTGACGACAAGAGGGGCTGCACATCAATACATGTATCGTGATGGGGGACAAATCAACACGTTCACCAGTAACAACACTGTGTACATGTGTGTGCGGCCTTAAATGGTAAAAATGTATAACAGCTGACGTTTCGGGACAATGGCCCTCCTTTATGGCCAGAGAGAGATGGAGTGGATGGTAAGCGTTGGACACCGCATCCTACACCCCGATTAGAAAAAAAAAAGAATGTTTTCCGACGCCCAGTTTTGTATCATGAGGCTAATTTTGACTGCTTGACTGTGACGTTGCCAAATTCATTGGACGCGAGTCCTCAATGCGATCAACACAGAGGACGCACCGCTCCCAAACGAACCAACTTCAGCCGCTCGCTAGGGCGCATACTTAGGGAACGAGTGAGTCACGTCGGTGCTGGATGGGTCCCAGGCCGTACGACCCGTATTGAGCGTCGCCGCATCGAAACCGCAACTCAACCGAGTAGAACAAATGGCAGACGGCCGGCTCAATGATCACGGTAGCAGGAGATCCAATTCACACGTTGCCTGTTGAATGCAGGCACTGTGTTGACAGCAAAGAGACGTGTGTCGGAGAGAGACCGCGCATTATCTTACTCGTGGCAAGTAACACAACCCCCCGCCTGTATACGGCAGTCACCCAAAAGCTTGTTTAAATTGGCCCCCTTAATAACAAATGTTCCATTTTCGGTCGTTTGTGCGGTCGATGAAGGTTTATTAATTGGCGTGCGCTCGCGGTGTGCGTTAACACTGTGCATCTGTGCGAAGCATCGCTGGATATTCTCTCAATATTTTCCGTTTGGCAACTTGTGGGCATCTCCCGCGTGGCGGCCAGCAGAGGCCTTGCCTATGTAATGATTCGGCCTTTTGGAGACCCACCGCTCCAGGTCACAGGTCACATGGCTAATGTCGCAGGTGCTTTTCAAACGATTCCAGGGAGGTGAGGTCGGGGGTGAATATCTGGCACCGTATTCGCTGGAGTGCAAGACGCTCTAGAAAATACGACGCACCCCAGAGTTGTGCCCGGCGTCAATAAAGTTACACAAATATGGTTGTGCATATAAACATGCACGCACATACCTACCGGATTATAAGATGCACCCCCAAGTTTTGCTTAAAATATGGGGGGGGGGAGGTTCATTCGATAATCTGGAGAATGCGGATATTCACGAAGATTTAAACCCAGACTCTCTCTCGGTCCAGCGATCTGACCCGGAAGATCCCTATGAGCCTGCATCTCGCTTGCAGGACACAGATGCGTGATTTGTAAACATCCAAAACAAACGTGGCACACGTGTAACGTTACGTGGAAAGGTAGAGCATGCTTGGAGACGCGTTTCACTTACAGTGGAAAAAATATCAATTTTCATAATTTCTGTGTCCGTGATTATATTACATACACTGTAAATAATATGCATGGGCTCGTGTAGAGCGGGTAAGAATGTTGGAAAACAAGACACGGCAATAAAAAATCCGATTTGTGAGCTCAAGATCCTTTGGGCGATGAGGCCTTTATAGTTTTGGTCCAGTAATCTATCCAGCTGGCACTGAAGATGATACCCAGAATCCCACTCGGTCCAGCAATCGCTGAACAAATGAACATTATTCATCGGCTGGGTCACAGAGACACAGCGATTTTGGGTTAAAATGTGCAGTGCCGGGCAGATGCGTGACAGAAAACAGAATTTTAGATGGATAGATTATCTAAATAAGTGACTAGATTTGTACTTGCCACCAGGAAAACACACAGCTGTTGAACAACAATATAATGGCCGTGACATTCCTGCTCGAAGACACCGGTGGAACCATCTGTCACATCAAGAACATCAGCAACAGGCCGATGTGCACATCTCCATCAATAGGGAATTAAAGGCAATCCACAGTCGCGCAATTGTGACGGTACAACCCAGACAACGGACCGTCGAGTAAACCGCCAGTGTGCACTTCTTCAATTGTAGAACGACAAAACTCCACGAACTCTCTCACTGCTGAAGCCCTCTTTCCGTGGCCAGCGGACCTCGACATTGACATTCCTGAACATGTTGCCAAAGATTGCAACAACGACAAAAGCAACAGCCACGTGGGCATGCATAATCAATGCTGTTTATGTAAAAACATTTTTTTAAATAACTGTTGAGTGAATGTACTTGGGAGAATAGCGACATTACATAGTGTTATGAGTTCGAGACAGCCTGGGAACCGGTTGGCATTTTTGTTAACTTCAAAACGAGCGTGACTTTATTGAAGCATAAAATTATGCGGCTCTTTTGGCAGCCATGCACCAGCACGAATTATCTTTATTTGTTTAAACCTCAACAAATTTGTCATTACCGCTGCCTAATAAATAGATACAGCACGCTGATGCTTCAGGCAATGGGACTCCTGCAGAGTAGAGAGACGGTGAGAGGGGGGGGTGCAGGGTAACGGGAGGTTGGAGGTTTGAGAGATTGTGACTGACTTGTTAGAGAAGGCTATAAAAAATGTGAGACTGATAAAACCGTGACTTAAAAAAAAAATAAAGTTCGCAACTTAAACGCTGTTAAATTTGCATGTGAATAGGTTAATATGAGTAGACATCAAGTGTAAAAAAATCCTAAATGAAGGCTTTCTAAACTTAACCGCCATCTCCCACGATCCATCGATGTTAATATCATTCGTGTATACTGTTTGCGTGCGCGACTTCACCACCGGAGTAATTAGGTTCTGCGGTGGATTTCCTTTGGCTCGCGTTTTGGAAAAAGATCAATTTGGGAAAACCGCGAAGGAACACGAGAATGATCTCCGCACGCTGATGGGCGTGGTCTTTCAAGCGCCCCCCCTGTTTCTTCGATGAGGTCAGGGAAAAATCTTAGTCAAGAAAAATTATTACCTGCTTTCTAAAATTACCGCGTCGCTTTACCGACGAATATCCTTGCGGAGTCTTCATGGCCGCTCGAAACGGCCACCCGCCTTAGGCACGTGCAAGCGCTGCGTCGATCATTTGCTGAGATTTCCAAACGTTTGCCCAACTCGAAAATCCCGACAACCACTTTTTTGTTTGCTTGGTGAACACACAAATATGCGCGTAAGGTAAATATACACAATAAACGTAAAACACGCATCGCGTTTTATCGAGAAGTGGTGCACACAGTTCTTGCTTAGAGACATTTCACTCAAGGTATGAAAAATATTTGCTTATAATAAATTATGTTTTCGTGTTTATATTACATACACTGTCAATAATATGTGTTCATGCATGAGCTCGTGCAGAGCAGTCATAATATTTGACAGCAAGACACAGCAATACATGTGTATCTTGGCATAATTTACCTGTACCAGCATGATTTAAGTCTCCTGAAATTCTAACCTTTACCTGCAAGCCTAGCTTAGCGCACTGAAATACCTATCTCTTCCTACCAGCATGGATGTCGTGGGTTTGTATATTTGGACTTTGCGTGTTCTCCCCTTTGTCGCGTGGATTTTTCTCCGGGTCCTCCGGTTGTCCCCCTCCACGTTTAGAATCGACGTGTGTTTAGTGTTTGGCGGCGATGAAATTTCCACGTGACAAGCCACTTCGTTGAGCTATCATTTGTCATAGCCAAGTCGCTTCTGAAATGCAGCTATATAGCTCAGTGCGCCTTACCTCATGAAATAAAAAAAATATTTTAGTTTTTTTTTACTAAGCTCACTGAAATACCTAGGCTGGGTGTTCCCTGATGGATCGGCATGTCACCGCAAAGGAACATCCATCTTCTGCGGTGCAGTTAGAATTTTCCATTAAATCACCTCAAGCATTCCCCGTCTCAACGGCCAATCGGACGATTTGATTAAAGTGATGGTGCGTCCCGCGGACGCGACCGCTACGTGTGCACTGTTCGGTGTGCGGAAGCGTCGTCATCTCAGGACAAGAGATTTGCCAGTGTTTTTAACTCACGTGAGCAATTTGTTTCATCATTAGCCTTTTGTCAGCAGGGTTCGGTGTTTTTGTTTGTTTGGTGGTGGTGGTGGTGGGGTGTGCGGTCTGCGGTGTTTTAGAGATGGTTTTCAAGGGCATTTTGACGACACCCAAACAAAACCCGCTCTCGTGTGCCGCGGGGATGAAGGCATTTTTACCGG